TGTCCATGTCCATTGTTCATGCACACATGCATATAAGTTCTGTGGTTTATCTCTCCCCCCACCCCCTCTTCTGGGGATTTTCCGTCTGTACCCCACTTCCACGTCTCTGGGACTACCTCGTTCCTCAGTCTGTTATGTTCATTATATTTCACAAATAAGTGAGATCATGTAATATTTGTCTTTCTCTGCTTGGCTTGTTTCGCTGAGGATACTTTCCAGCTCCCTACATGTCGTCTCAAAGGATAAGAGATCTCTCTTTCTTACAGCTGCGTAGTACTCCATTGTGTACATGTACCACAGCTTTTTTATCCATTCGTCTACTGATGGACACTTGGGCTGTTTCCAGATCTTAGCCATTGTAAATAGTGCTGCTGTGAACATGGGGTACATATATTCTTTCTGATCGGTGTTTCCGGCTTCTTAGGGTATATTCCTAGAAGGGGGATCACTGGGTCATATGGCAGTTCAATTTTTAAATTTTTGAGTTACACCATATTGTTTTCCATAGTGGCTGCACCAGTCTGCATTCCCACCAGCAGTGTACTAGAGTCCCCTTTTCTCCACACCTTTGCCAACACTTGTTGTTTGATGATTTGTTGATGGCAGCCATTCTGACAGGTGTGAGGTGATACCTCATTGTTGTTTTAATTTGCATCTCTCTGATGATTAGTGATGTTGAGCATTTCTTCATATGTCTCTTAGGCATTTGTATGTCCTGTTTGGAGAGGTGTCTGTTTAGGTTCTCTGCCCATTTTTTAATTGGGTTCTTTGTCTTCCTTTTGTGGAGTTGTATGAGCACTCCATATATATTGGAAATTAACCCTTTATCTGATGTATCATTAGCAATGATGTTCTCCCATACAGTGGGTTGCCTTTCCATTTTGGTGATTGTTTCTTTTGTTGTGCAGAAGCTTTTGAGTCGGATATAGTCCCATGTGTTCATTTTCTCCTTTGTTTCTGTTGCCTTAGGTGATGTATCAGTGAAAATTCTGCTGCGTATGAAGTCTGAAATTTTGTTGCCTACATTTTCTTGTAGGATTTTTATGGATTCATGAGTCACATTTAAGTCCTTTATCCATTTTGAGTTCATTCTTGTGTAGGGTGTAAGTTGATGGTCTAGTTTCATATTTTTGCATGTAGCTGTCCAATGTTCCCAACACCATTTATTTAAAGAGGCTGTCTTTACTCCACTGTATGCTCTTGCCCCCTATGTCAAATATTAATTGAGCATATTGCCTTGGGTCCATTTCTGGGTTCTCTATTCTGTTCCATTGATCCATCTGCCTGTTCTTATGCCAGTACCAGGCTGTTTTGATTACAGTGGCTTTGTAGTATAACCATGAAATCTGGTAATGTGATCTCTCCTACTTTGTCCTTCTTTTTCAAGATTGCTGTGGCTATTCAGGGTCGTTTTTGGTTCCATATGAGCATTTGAAGTATTTGTTCTAGTTCTGTGAAGTATGTCATTGGTATTTTGATGGGGATTGCATTGAATCTATAGGGTGCTTTGGGTAGTATGGACATTTTAATGATGTTAATTCTTCCAATCCATGAACAAGGTTATGTGCTTCCACTTTTTTATATCTTCCTCTATTTCTTTTTTTAATGACCTGTAATTTTCTGCGAATAGGTCCTTTATTTCTTTGGTTAAGTTTATTCCTAGGTATCTTAATTTTTTTACCACGATGGTAAATGGGTTGTTTTTTTAGTTTCTCTTTCTGTGAGTTCATCATTGGTGTATAAGAATGCCATTGATTTCTTGACGTTAATTTTGTATCCTGCTACTTTGCCAAATTCACTTAAGTCTGGTAAATTTTTGATGGAGTCTTTGGAGTTTTCTACATATAGTATCATGTCATCTGCAAATAATGACAGTTTCACGTCCTCCTTTCCACTTTGGATCCCTTTTAGTTTTTATTCCTGATTGCTGTGGCTAAGACTTCCAGTACTATGTTAAATAAGAACACGTACCACCGCTTTTTTATCCACTCACCCACTGGTGGGCACTTGGGCTGTTTCCAAATCTTAGCTATTGTAAATAACATTTAAAATGTGTGTGTGTGTGTGTGTGTGTATATATATATATTTTTTTTTTATTGATTTTTATTTTTGGGAGAGAGAGATGGAAACATCGATCTTAGATACCTTGATCAACTGCCTCCTGCACGCCCCCCCACCGGGGAGCAGAAAACTGAGACCCCGAGAAATAGCCCAGTGACATCCCAGGGCTCGAGACGAACAGAGGGAACCTGCCCGTCAAAGCACAGCCTCGCAGGTGTGGAGTCTGCAGTTAGCTGTGGGGCCGGCTGTGCCCACGCCGAGGTCCAGAACGTGGGTCTGAACCCCGGCAGGCTGACAGGGTTGCCGGAGTGTCTGCCCCTGGCTCCTGTCCTGCCAGGGGGTGTTTGTGTTCTGCAGCATCCCGGACGCGGCTTTTCCCCTTCTGGTTTGCTTTGCTCTGCGGTCCTTTTGCAGGCGCTCACCTGCGCTCTTCCTGTGCAGCGGTAGTCCAGTGTGAGCAGCCCGGGGTCCCCGGCGCAGGCCTCGGGGTGCAGGTCTCCGCAGCGGGCACAGAGCCCGCTCGCCCTCCCTCCTCCCGGAGCTGCACAGGCGGGTTGCTCCTTGGTAACACGGGATTCGCACGTTGTACACGAGAACGAGCAAGCGCCCGACCTGAACATCAGGTTCCGGAATGCGGGAATCACCGCCCCTTTCATTTCCCTGTGTGTGCTGGGCTCCGCTGCGCGTGTACCCAGGAGGCGCTTGGCCGCTTTGGCTGGCTCTGAATCTTGCCATCGCCATGGGCTTTATCCTTGAAAATACAGATCTACCTCTACATAAGATGTATATGTGTGTGTATATATATGTGCCCTTTTCGATTGGACTTATTGGGGTGCCCCATTCAGAAGATGGGAGGAGCCCATCTGGGCCCCAGTCTTTGCTGTGCCGTTGCTCCCACAGGGGACTTCTCTCCCATGTCTGGGTGGATCTCACGCGTAGCTTGTCTAAGGCAGTCTGCAAGTAGAGCTCCCTCCGGATTACCAAATCCAATGGCCAACGGCTCTGAGTTTGAACAGTAAATTGTAGCTCATTATGGGGGGTTAATCCTCCCCGGAGGCTATTTTTTCCATTGATTTTTTTTTTTTTTTTTTTTTTAGAGAGAGGGGAAGGGAAGGGGAGGGGGGAAGAGAAACATCGATATGAGAGAGAAACATCCATTGGTTGCCTCCTGCATGCACCCTGATTGGGGCTGGGAAGCCAACCTGTGCCCGTTGGTGTGCAGGCTGAAGCTCTAACCACTGAGCACACCGGCCAAGGCCAGGGCAAATTGTGGCTTGTTTTATTCTACGTTTCTGTGAGGTGGTGGGTTTTATTACCTGGCAGGTGCCAGGTGCTTTGATGGTCGGGGGGTGTCAGACTGGCAGAGTTTTACAAAAGGAGGAGGAAAAGGAAGTGTTCCAGAGTCCGTGGAGTCTCTGAAATGGAAGGTTGGGCCGGCGTTTGGGAATTGCCCGGAGTTAGGGTTACTGTCTCCATAGGCACGAGGACCTACATGGAGGGGACGCAGGGCCGTCCCTCTGCCACAGGCCTCGGGAGCCTTCCCCAGTGTGATGCAACGTCGACGGGGGAACCCCCATTGTCTTGTGACGTCACGGCTGCTCACTTGGCCGTGTGTTCTCTCAACCACTCATTGCCATGTTCAGCTTATTTCAGTAATGGCCAGTTTGTCTTGGTGTGTACCTAATACACATTTTTTTAAAAAATCGAACTTCCCGAACGGGGTTAATGTTTTCTTAAGCTCTTCCCCTTTGCAGTGTGGCCCCAGCTGCCTGAGGGGACAAGGGAGGGAACTAGGCATGGTAAGTGGGTTCCATTCTGAAGCATCCACTGAGCCTGCAGGGGCTTTTTCCCTGAGGACGTGCGTAGCAAGAGGGATGTGGACAGGGCACTTGACTTGGCAAAGCGGAGGCGGTTAGGAACGCCTGGAAGGCCCAGGCCAGGTGTCACGTCGCGGGAGGCCACACGGGGGCGCCAGTGGTCAGGAAAACGTGTCCTGTCCTGCTTGTTCGATAACAGGTTGCAGGCGGGCACCAGCGCCCCGCCTGCTGGTTCTGTGTTTGCTGCCCTGTCAGGGTCTCCTTGAACAGCTGACAGCTTGTGTTCGCAACAGAAGACAACTCTGGCCCTGACTGGGAGTCCGTCGGAGGCTCCTTCTCTGGCTCTTGGCTTGCAGGAGGCAGCGGGTCGGGAAAGGGGTACCTGGCTGATTTGTTGCAAACCTGATAGTCGTTAGGCCATGAGCGTTTTCTGTGGCACAGGTGAACACGCGGGCGAAGCATGCGTGCGTGCGTGCTTTGCAGGCCTGTGTATGTGTGTACGCGGATGCATGGAAATGCATGCATAGGCACGTAGCATGGGAAGACAGAGGTGGATTAGGGATATGGAAATGGCTGGGAATATGAAAAGAACCGTGAGTCATGGCAGGTCACCAAAGCAAGTCTTTTTTTTTTTTTAATTTATTTTTTTTAATAATACACTACTGATTGTAATGATTTTCTTAATAAATTAGAGAGCTCTATCCCTTTGTATGTGGCAGGTTCCTGAATGCAGTAAGCCCTCATGGAAACACTGTTGCAACATGAACTACCTCTTTCTGATTAGAGCTGTCTAGGAGAATTTTCGTAAACATTGTTCTCTGAAATGTTTGCGTAAAGTTTGGGTTTTGCTCCCAAATGCAGGTGTGTGAACACGTATGTGTCTGTATCTGCAAGTGTCTTCAGTACCTCATGTGCCGTTGTGAGACCTGCCAGGGTACAGCCCCAGTGGGCTGGGATTCAAGACCTTGCATTAGGAATGGCTGTGGGCCGGGGGTGGGGAGCAGCCCATGGATGTAGTTCCTTCAAGGGATGTAAGGAGAGCAGCAGGATATGGGCCCAGCCCTGTTTGGGAGGAAGATGTTCCTTGGAGTAGGTTGCTCACTTTTGTTCATTCTTCTCTAGACAAGCAGATGCTCAGTGTCCAGGAGCCCGTGGGGACCCGCGGCACCCGGCCCAGGTCTCTGAGCCGTCTCACACCAGGGAAGCTCCGGAGGTGCCCCAGGAGGGCCGCGGCAGAGCAGGGACCCTACCTCGTGATTACAGATACTCAGAGGAACACGCGCCAGCCCGCCCCCTGCAGCCGCCGGGCCCAGGATCACAGGGGCAGAGCGGCCTCTCGGCTCCGCAGGCTCGGGGGCAGGACCCTCCGCCTGTGAGCGCCGCGCCGCTGGCCAAGAGACCTGCCCCGCAGAGGCCGCCACCACCCAAGCGGGAGCCCAGGCACTTCAGGGGACCAGCCTGTGCCGCCCCCACGGGCACACCTGTGGTTTCTTACCTGGGCGCACCTGCGGGCATACCTGCGGCTGTTCACCTGGGTGCACCTTCCAGCACAGAGGCGGGCGCACCTGTGACCAATCACCTGGTGGCACCCGGCAGGCCCCTTCCCCCACCGTCTCCCTTGGCCCTGGAGCTGTGCGTGGACCGCCTGTCCCTGTCCCGCAGCCCCTGCGCCTTGGCGGAGAAGCTGAGCGGTGCGCAGCCCGCAGATGGCCCGCAGGCCCCGGCGGAGCGCGCCAGGCAGCATGTAGATGAGCCCCCAGCCTGTCCGAAGCGGGAAGCCCTGCCCCCTTCCAAGTTCCGGCCCCTGCAGACGACCGCCATGGAGACCTCCCGCTCCCCATCGCCTCAGTTCGCCCCCCAGAAGCTGACAGACAAGCCCCCCCTGCTCATCCAGGAGGACAGTTCGACAAGGTACGGCCCTGGGACCCTGGCGTCCTGCATGCTTCCCCTTTCACGAGCTCCCTCCCCCCACCCTCGGCAGGTTTTCGGAGTCTTCCCTGGGATGAACGTGACTGGTGCCCCTCCCCCTGCGGACGTGGACTTCCCGTGGTCCTGGGGATAGCCTGGAGGGAGCCAGAGGTCCGATGCGCCCAGAGTCTCTAACTTGGGGAGCCCCGTCCCCCTGAGGGGATGTGAAGGGGGTCGCAGACCTTTCCCCCTCCCCTTTGTCCAAGCCCCACACCCTGTGTCTGTGATACCCTCAGGCATCTCCAGGGCTGTGGCTTCCCCAAGCACTTTCTGGTCGTTGTCAGAACCCAGTGTCACCCGGGCATGGGGCCTCCGGATGAAAGTGGTGTTTTCCGTAACATCCAACACTCCCACGCTCCTTTCGTCTCAATCTTTTTATGTGAGGAGTTGCACAGGCATGCACCCTGTATGCATGTGGGAAACGCTGGGTTGCGTTCCCTGGCGCTGTGGGCAGAAGGCCAGGCACGCGGAGGTGGATGCCCGTGGAGAGGCTGGCGACGGGGGCAGGCGGGGGGCACCCTCCAGCCAGAGCTCTGACCGGGAGCTGCTGGCCCCTCCTGTGGCAGTGCCTTTGAGAACTGAGAACTGGGAGGAGGGGCAGTTTTCATCGCCTTCTCGGCCAGGGGAGGGTGATCTGGGCCCCAAGGGGATATTTGGCAATGTCTGGAGGCATTTCAGGGTGTTACCACGGAGAGGGGGTTGCTGTTGCCATGTAGTGGGTAGAGGCCAGGGATGCTGCTCAGTGTCCTACAGGACAGTCCCGCCAGCGAGGAATCCTACATGGGTCCTGCATGGCAGGACTGTCTCATCCAGGAGCCACGCGTCATACGTGGCTGTGTGACCAGACATCGATGAGAATTAAATAACATTTGTGTCGTGTCTCAGTTGGACCCCGTGGCCAGTGGACGCCACAGTGGTCAACACAGATACAGCCTCTCTCCATCATGAGTTCTCGCAGGGACCTTGCTGGTCTTGAGTCTTGGAACTATTTTTCTTTCTGTCTTTTTAAAAAAATTTTTATTTTCGAATCCTCACCCGAGGATATTTTTCCATTGATTTTTCAGACAGAGCAGGAGGGAGGGAAGGAGAGAGAGAGAGAGAGAGAAACATCAATGCAAGAGAGACACATCTGTTGGTTGCCTCCTGGGGCAGGGAAATCTGAAACCCCGGCAGTAGGTGCCTGTGGCTGGGAATCGAACCCCAGACCCCTTGGTGCTCGGACCGATGCTCCAAACATTGAGTCGCACCGCCCAGGGCGGAATTCTTTCTCTTTCAGCTTGAAACTAACTCAGCAGCCAGAGGGCGTGGCTGATGCCACCGGTGTTGCCACGTGGGTGTTGTGGCCACGGCTTCCTCCGTGGGCCGGCACTGTGCTCAGTGTCACTCAACGCAGCCGCAGCTTCACGAGCCTCTTCCAGGTCCCGCTGAGTTCTGAACACGGGGGAGAGCAGGAAAGGGGTCTGCGTGGCGGGTCAGCGTCAGATTCTGGCACAAGGCCGCTGGCATGGGGCCCCGGTTCTCAGGTCCCAGGGCAGAGGGCTCCACGCCCAAGCAGGACCTCGCCCTCGCTCGGCGCTTGTGACCGCAGGGGCGCTGGTAGCTGCTGCCGATGGCCGTCTTCTCTCCGTGCGCGTTGATTTTCTGTGTGCGTGCTGGAGTGTGGGAGGGTTTCTACAAGCAGTGCCCGTACTTACCGGTACGATGGGGGTCTTCGGGCACCCACAGTCAGGGTCCACCGCAGCCATTTGGGACAGCGGTCGTCCGGGGATTCGTGTCTGTGCCCAAAAGCCCCCGCTGGGAGCCTGAATCCTGGTCAGTGTCCAGAGCTGTCTCCGAGTGTGTGCTGTCTGTCCTTGTCGGGGAGCACAGTCGGGCAGAAGGTGGCCATGCCACCCGCAGATGTGGCCACCAAGGACGTCTCTCACACTGCGCTGTCACCGGCCCCAGGCATAGGCGACGGGTCAGTCCTGGCAAGTGCAGGTGGACTCCTGATGACGTCTAAGAGCGACGAGAGGCCGGTGCTCAGCAGGAGCCTTGGCACTGCCCTGTCCCATCATCAGCTCGAAGCAGGCTGGCAGGGAGGCATGGCCAGACGCCCTCCCCCACCGCCTGTCCTCAGGGCTCCGCTCAGACGCCCTCTTCTTGTCCACACTTGTGGTGACTTTGAGTTTTTGAGCGTTATGTCCGCCCTTCCGGTTACCTGTGGGTCGTGAGCGTGCACGCGCTCACTGCCCACTGGGGAGCTGGCCGGGCCGCAGAGTGCCGTGTGTGTCCGAGGCTGTGTGTCCACGAATTCGGCAGCTGGTGCTGGGCAGCTGCTGGGTGCCAGGCGTCCAGCTGGCAGCAGGGACGCAGAGGGGAAGAAAATGCATCGTTCCCACCCACCGGGGTGTCAGAGGAGCCGTTCCAAACCGAAATGCGTCCACGCCTGCCCTCCACTGAGAAAGCTTTCTTTCGCATCTTTTCAGATTCTTTGGGGTTGTTTGTTTGTTTGTTTTTCTAAACTATGAAGCAGAAACAATGGCCACCAACGCCTCAGTCACTGTCAGCGAAAGCTAGAGTTTGATCGCTCCCAGTAGGGTCGCAGGCGTCTTCCCGAAGCCTGTTTCTGGGTTTGGCTGTGACGAGCAGAGCCTGGAGGGCTGCTCCAGGTCCTTTGGGTGGTGTGATGACCGTCACCTCAAGCGTCCTGGTTGAAAGTCTGCTGAGTGGGTAGTGGAGTGGAGCAGAGCCACAGTGCTGCATGGTCGTGTGCACAGAATGGCGTTTGGCTGTGTGTATCGCGGCTGTGTGTACAGTGTCTGTGTGCACATGCGGGTGTGTGCACAGTGACTGTGTGCACATGTGGTTGTATGTACAGCGGCTGTGTGTGCAGTGGCTGTGTGCATGAATGGCGTACGGTTGTGTGCACAGTGGATGTGTGCACAGTGGCTGTGTGCACATGCGGGTGTGTGTACAGCGGCTGTGTGTACAGTGGCTGTGTGCATGAATGGCATGCAGCTCTGTGTACAGTGGCTGTGTGCACATGCGGGTGTGTACAGCGGCTGTGTGTACAGTGGCGATGTGCATGAATGGCATGCGGCTCTGTGTACAGTGACTGTGCACAGTGTCTGTGTGCACATGTGGGTGTGTGTACAGCGGCTGTGTGTACAGTGGCTGTGTGCATGAATGACGTGCGGCTGTGTGCACAGTGTCTGTGTGCACATGCGGGTGTGTGTACAGCAACTGTGTGTACAGTGGCTGTGTGTACAGTGGTTGTGTGCATGAATGGCATGCGGCTGTGTGTACAGTGGCAGTATGCACAGTGGCTGTGTGCACATGCACATGTGGGTGTGTGTACAGTGACTGTGTGTACAGTGGCTGTGTGTACAGTGGCTGTGTGTACAGTGACTGTGTGCATGAATGGCGTGCGGCTGTGTGCAGAGTGGATGTGTGCACAGTGGCTGTGTGCACAGAATGGCATGTGGCTGTTTGCACAGTGGCTGTGTGCACAGAGCTGCATAGAGAGTTTGAGGCTGGGGGCTGGGCCTCTGTGGGCGGCTGTCTTACCTGCACAGAGCTGCACTCAGAGCAGCTGAGTCCCATAGGTGGCACCGGGGTTCAGTTAGGCATTGAGCTCTGCCTGCAGTAAGGTCTAATCCACTGTGTTCTGTCCTCATGTTGAAGTAAAAGTTGACGAGGCTCTATACATGGACGTTTGGACAGCTTCAGTGCGTAGGTAGGACCAGGACGTGCGCCCCCGGTGCGTAGGTAGGACCAGGACGGGCTGCTTCGTTGGAAAGTTATGCCAACCTCTGGCCGACTGGTCTGTTTTCCCAACACACCTTCCTTCAGCGGAAGCGCGTTTCCACACAGATGCAGGAAGGGACGGGCTGACTTCGGTCAGTAGTCGAAGGCCAGGATTTTAAGTGTGGAATGAAGGGAATGAAGAGGGCTTCTTGTTTGTTGCTGCGGAGATAAGATGCCAGAATTTTCCCTCGAGAGTTTAGCAAATCTAAATGGTATTTTTCACAGAGTTGCCCTTTGAAAATGTACTCACGGTGGCGGCACTTTGGGGACAGTCTGCAAACACCTAGATTAAACACTTCTGTCTTTGTGGTGTACACGCTTATGAATGCGAAAGGTCCAGCCTGTGTGTCCGGCCACCAGTGAAAGGGAGACACAGCGTTTACCTGAGGGACGGAGCGTCCCGGGTGCGCCGTAAAGTTAGCTCCGTGGGGCCGTGTTGTCGAAGTGAGGTTAAATCCACCGAGTTAGAAATAAATTTATTAGAAATAAATTCCGTTGTGATTTCGGGTTGTTTTTCCTCTTCTTTCCTGGGCTCCAGTAGGTGGCTGTCTTTCTCCAGTGAGTCCTTTAAGAATGCCTGGAACACATTTCTGTCCTGACGGCCGTCCGTTGCAAGATACGGCTGCTGGCATGCCCGATGTCCGGGACACGCCCCGTCCTGTGGACCGGGCTGTTTCTTTCCATTTTCTCTCTTTCCTGGGGGTACCACTGAGGCCCTTCCAGCTTCTTTTTTTTTTATATCCTCACCCGAGGACATTTTTCCATTTTTGTACAGATAGAGTGGAAGGGAGAGAGAGAGAGAAACATCGACGTGAAGGGACACATCGAGTGGCTGCCACCCGCACGACCAACCAGGGCCAGGGACAAACTGCAACCGAAGTACGCGCCCTTAGCGGGAACCGAACCCGGGTCTCTCCGGACCGCAGGCCGACGCTCTAACCGCTGAGCCAAACTGGCCAGGGCCCTTCCAGCTTCTTGTCGCAAGGAACTTGATTTTGTCGCGAAGTATGTGAATCGTTGTCATGGTGCAGAGGCAGAGTGTGCGTGTTTGCGGCCGGGCTCTGACCTCCCTGGTATGACAAGGGTGGCCTGAAGGGCGGGTGGTGGCAGGCAGGTGACACCCAGCCGGTTCCTCGTCCTGGGTGGGCGCCTGGCTGGGCAGCACGGGCCCTGCAGCACACGGCTCTGCCCTTTCCAGGATCGAGCGGGTGATCGACAACACCACCGTGAAGATGGTGCCCATCAAGATCCTGCACTCGGAGAGCCAGCCCGAGAAGGACAGCCGCCAGGGCCTGGCCTGCACCGCCGAGCTGCCCGCGCTGCCCAGCGGGCTGGAGAGGGACCAGATCAAGACGCTGAGCACCTCGGAGCAGTCCTACTCACGCTTCTGCCTGTACAGCCGCCCCGCGCCGGAGCCCGAGCCCCCGGCCCAGCCCCCCAGCAGCCCCGGGGCCCCCGACGGCCAGGCCTCCCCGCCGCCTGCGCTCAGCTACGTGAAGGCCAGAGAGAGGACGGCCGAAGACCTGAAGTCCGAGGAGCTGGCCCGGGAGATCGTGGGCAAGGATAAGTCCCTGGCCGACATCCTGGACCCCGGCGTGCGGATGAGAACCACCATGGACCTCATGGAGGGCATCTTCCCCAAGGACGAGCACCTCTTAGAGGAGGCTCAGCAGCGCCGGAAGCTGCTCCCCAAAATCCCATCTCCCAGAAACACGGAGGACAAGTGAGTATCTGCCGCCCGCAGCCCTGCGCTTGGCTGTGGGGTCCTGCCGGCATCTCTCAGGCTTAGAAGGGCAAAGGGGCAGAAGTGTTGGTGCATTTTCGTGATTGCTCTGGGGGGTGCAGGCTTGCACAGAGACTACCCCCGAGGGTTAGCTAGCCATTTTGGCAGTTTGTGACCCCCCCTGAGGCTGAGGCATTTCGGACCACGTTCCTGGGGATGGGGACCGTGAGGCCTGGCCAAGGAGAGGAAATATGGCAACTTCTGGGCTGTCTCAGCGGCACGCCAGAGTGGTTTTCGGGGATCCCCGTGGGCTCCTTTCGCTTGGCGCAGGCCTCTCAGCGGGTGTTGGCTCCCTCCAGGGGACAGTTAGCAGTAGCCACAGAGTTTTGGTGGTCACGAGTGGGCAGGTGATGCTAGCACCTCGAGGGCGGAGACCAGGGATGCTGCAAACATCGCACAGGGACAGGACATCCCAGCACAGAACCATCTCCCCCACACGTCACACCTGTCCTAGGAGGCGTGAAGTCTTACACGGGGGTACACGTATGAGTACATTTGTGTGTGTATGCCTCTGTGTATTCAGGGTGTCCCCAAACAATTCAGAGGTGGTGTCTATACACATACAGCTCATTTTCAAAATGTAAGTGTCTACAGAAATGAATACTTTTTTATGTCGACGCCTGTCCGTCGGATCCAGTGACTGCGGCTAATGCCGGGCAGTAGAATCACAACATGGAGAACCATTTTGTTGGTATTTGCACAAATTCCCATTCAGTAGTTGCCCTCAATTCACCAACTGTTCCTAGTTTTATGACATTAAACTGACCTTCTATGTATCCTCGTAAAAGTCCTGTGGATACGATTTCTCTGTTCAAAGCTGACGCTGACTTCACCCGTTACTTCAAATCACTTAAACCTGAAGAGGAGTCAGAATTCAGTGAGTTATCAGCTGTTAAAGTGTGTGTACATTTTGGGGGATGCCCTATATACATATCTGTGTGAATGAATTTGTGTGATTGGCTTTGCAAAACACCGTTGCAACCCCACCATCCAGTCATCTGTCCACACACATGCGGGATTTGGGGTTTCTTTGCTGATGTACCAGTCTCCTGGAGCATCCTTTACCTGACATCCCGGTCTCCTGGAGCCTCCTCTCCCTGACGTCCCCGTCTCCTGGAACATCCTTTACCTGACGTCCCCGTCTCCTGGAGCCTCCTGTCCCTGACGTCCCCCGTCTCCTCTCCCTGACATCCCCCGCCCCCTCTCCCTGACGTCCCCCTCCTGGAGCCTCCTTAGTAAGTAAGCTGCAGAGTTGGGCGGAGCAGCAGATGAGAAGCATAGGGCGCAGCAAGCACCAGAGCAAGAGGGAACAAGAGTGGGTGCTGGTAGGGGTACAGGGCACGTCTCTTATTCATTTTTATTTGTTGATTAATTTGAGAGAGAGAAACATCAATTTCTTCCTCCTCTTATGTATGCACCATTGGCTGCTCCTTGAGTGTGCCCTGGCCGGGGATCTAACCCACAACCGTGGTGTACTGGGACAACGCTCTAACCTATTGAGCTCCCAGCAGGCTGAGGATGCGTCTCTCGTAGACCGCGGCACTGCCGTCATCATCATAGATTTCAGACCCCGTCGGAGGAAACCGTTTGTCTGAGCACTTCTGTCCCGCACAGAGATGCTTCCACATCCTTGCTTGTTTATTATTATTACTTTTTGTTAATCGTCACCAGAAGATCTTTTTCCCATTGATTTTTAGAGGGGAAGAGAGAGAGAGAAACATCGACGTGAGAGAGACACAGCGATCCGTGGCCTCCCGACCTGGGCTCTAACCTGCCCCCCAGGTACATGCCTTTGACCGGCGTTTGAACCCGCGACCCTTTGGTGTGAGGCCCGAGGCTCCTACCCTGAGCCACACTGGCCAGACCGCTGAAGTTTGCCGTTTTTGCAGGAGGGAGGAGCCGAGCGGGCCGGCGGCCGTGTCCCTGGCCACCACCTCCACATACTACAGCACGTCGGCCCCCAAGGCCGAGCTGCTCATCAAGATGAAGGACCTGCAGGAGCGGCAGGAGCCCGAGGAGGACACGGGCAGTGACCTGGACCACGACCTGTCTGTGAAGAAGGTAGGAGGCCGGGACTCCAGGGGCAGTGTGCTGGGAGCCGGCGGGCGCGTGTCTGCACCGCGGGGGCCCTGCCCTTCGGGCGGGCGTTTGTATCGGCTTCTGTGCGGGACAGGGGCTGGGGACAGGCGTTTGAGGCCCTTGGGTCGTCTTCTGGTCTGAAATTGCGACGTTCCCCCGGGGTCTCTTTGCCATCTCTTCCTAGTGAGGTGCAGGGTCCGCCTAGCCAGGTGGGCACCGTCTGCTTTCATTTTGAGTTCACCTGGTATGTCTCTGCTGTCCCGACGAAAATCCAGTGGGCAGGCGATAATCATGTGTCCTTCAGTCATAGGTCCTCTTTCCTGTTTTTTTTTTCTGTTTTTTTGTTTTTTTTTTATCCTCACCCGAGGACATTTTTCCATTTTTTGTTCAGATAGAGCGGGAGGGAGAGAGAGGAAGAGAGAGAGAGAGAAACATCGATGTGAAGGGACACATCGAGTGGCTGCCACCCGCACGACCGACCAGGGCCGGGGACAAACTGCAACCGAGGTACGTGCCCTTAGCGGGAACCGAACCCGGGTCTCTCAGGACCGCAGGTTGACGCTCCAATCGCTGCGCCAAACCGGCCAGGGCCCTCTTTCCTTTTTGTTTTTTTGTTTTTAATCCTCACCTGAGGATATATTTTTTTCCCCCATTTATCTTCAGATAGAGTGGGAATGGGAGAGAGAGAGGAAGAGAGAGAGAGAGAGAAATATCGATGTGAGACAGACACATCGAGTGGGCACCACCCACACGACCCCAACGGGGGCCGGGGACAAACTGCAACTGAGGTACGCGCCCTTAGTGGGAACTGAATCCGGTTCTGTCTGGTCCACCGGCCGACGCTCTAACCGCTGAGCCAAACTGGCCAAAGCTGACCCATTTAGTTTTTTTGAGAAGAACTTTGCAAAGGATTATGTTGAAGGTCAGCTTGGATCGTTAGTGGTTAAGAAACGCCACTGGTTGCCCAGCCGGTGTGGCTCAGTGGGCTGAGCATCGTCCCATGGACTGAGAGGTTGCCGGTTCAATTCCCAGCCAGGGCACATGCCCGGATTGCAGGTCCAATCCCCAGTAGGGGGCGTGCAAGAGGCAGCCGATAGAGGGTTCTCTCCCATTGATGTTTGTCTCCTTCCCTCTCTCTCTAAAAAAAAGAAAGAAAGAAAGAAAGAAATGCCACTGGTTGATCCCCAAAAAAGAAAAGAAAATTACTTTTTTGTTCTTGTTAGTAATCCTCACCGAAGGATATTTTTTCCACTGATTTTTAGAGAGAGTGGAAGGGAGGGAGGGAGGGGGAAGAGAGAGAGAGAAACATCGATGAGAGTCACTTTGATGGTGGCCTCCCACACACACCCCGACCAGGGATCTAACCTGCAACCCAGGTCCAGGCCCTTGACCGGGAACCCAACGTGTGGCCACCTGGTGCACGGCCGGTGCTGAGAGCTACCGATTTGTCTGCCGGCCAGGCCGGTCTTGTCTCAGAGTCTTTGAAACCCGATGTCCACCCTTCCTGTAGCGGCCTCGAAGGGAGGAGAGGCCCGCGCTTCGGATAGAAGTGACCCTGACATAGTCAGTAAAGGAATTTACTGCCCGGTTCAAGGGAGCCCAGCGGACATGGGGGTTGGAGGCCCGTTTTCGTGCATTACCGGGGATCTCCCCGGGCTCATCGCTGCAGAGTAAAAGCGGCCAGTGCCTCCGGCGCGGGGTCCTCGTCCATGCCCAGCGTTCAAGCCGCCCGAGTCTTCGCTGGGCTGCGCATTGGCGGCGGGCGAGAAGCAGGCAGGTCGCCGTCCCCTGAATGGAGCTGCTGTTTCCCACGAGGGGCGCCTATCGCGGGCCCCTGCTCTGCCGTGGGGTCCGAGGCCGGCCGGGGCGAGCGGGCTCAGGCACCCAGACGGGGGACTCGGGGTCTCGACGCCCTGAGCAATGAGAAGGGCCCTGGAAGGGCCCAGCGCCGGCTGCAGGTGCCATGGGGTCCTCGGCGGGGAAACCGCGTTGCCGTCGCCGTCAGCCGCGGGCCCGGGCAGCCTGACCCACGTACGGCCGACGGCCACAGAGGGGCCAGTGCCCTCATGGGAGCCCGTGCCTTTCCGGCTGGAGGGATTTTAGCACGAGGAGGATTTTGGTAGCTTGTCTTTCAAAGCATCGCCCTGAGCCAGAGTGCCCCCGTGGTCAGCTCTGTGGGCCCTCTGGGGTTGGTTTGGAACTGCCCCAGGAGAGGGGTGGTGCACGGCCGATTTCGGGTGGTCCCCTTTACATAAAACAGTGTCACTTGGTGTCACAGAGCGAGCTTTGCGGTCCTGCTTGGACTTGGCTGGTCAGAGGAACTGCTTGAGCCTCCTTGAGGTCTGTGCACCTGAAACTGTCCCCACGGTCAGCCCTCTCCCCGTGGGCAGCCCAGGGCCCAGGGGTGGCACGCAGATAGGTGTCCGCAGGCCTGGTGCAGAGGTGCTGGCACCGAGGGTCCTCCAAAGGGCACCTTGGGGCTGTCCGCTCACCACGGGCTCGTCCGCGTTCCCCGTGGTGGGCAGAGTACCCCTGGAATCTGCTGGGGGTGGACCGGATGGCCCAGAGATGTCCATGGTCACAAGAAAGTGGGTTTCTGGGGTGAGCTTGCCCCTGTCCTCCTTTGGAGCCGTTCCTGTAACTTTCCTCACATGTGGTGACGGAGGAGGTGGGTCCTGCTGTCCGCCTGACCCTCCAGTCAGATCCCACACTGCTGCTCCGGGACAGGGCAGCGGCCGATTCAAAGGTCTTACACGGTTCGTTGTTTATTTTTATTTCGTTATTTATTTTTTATCCTCACCTGAGGACATTTTTTGGTTTTGGTTCAGATAGAGTGCGGGGAGGGGGAGAGAGAGAGAGAGACATCGGCGTGAAAGGGACACCTCGAGGGGCTGCCACCCGCATGACCCACCAGGGCCGTGGACAAACTGCAACCGAGGTACATGCCCTTAGCGGGAACCGAGTACGTGCCCTCAGTGGGAACCGAACCCGGGTCTCTCCGGACCGCAGGCCGACGCCCTAACCGCTGAGCCAAACCGGCCAGGGCTATTTCGTTGTTTATTTTTGCTCGCTGAAAAGGAATCGCTTATAGGGCTGGTGAGAAAGGAGGAGGAGCAGTTGGTGTTGAGCGGTGACAGTGTCGGGGAGCCTGGAAGCGTCCTGGAGCTGGGGTGCTGGTGGTTACACGCAACGGGGATGTGCTTCATGGTGCTTTTCAGTCCTTCCTGAGGCTATTTTTCCCACTGATTTCAGAGAGAGTAGCAGGGAGGGAGGAAGGGAAGAGGAGAGAGAGGGATGTCAATGGGAGAGAGAGGCATAGATTGGTTGCCTCCTGCACCACCCCAACCGGGGCGGGGATCTAACCTTCTACCTTCTTTGCCCGGGACAACACTCTAACCCACTGAGCCGCACCGGCCAGCCTTAATGCCGCTTCTTAAAAGTGGGGAAGACGGTACATTTTATGTTACGTCTATTTGACATTAGAAAATGAGTCATTGATCTGGATTTTGGTCAAGTTGAAATCAGTAGGTTATTTTGACATACTTTTCAGTTCATTGACGTCCCTTTATTGGTCTTAATTTTTCATTGCGACTTCTGTGGCGAGATCGCGATTTATTTATTTATTATTTGTTTATTTGTTGTTGTTCAGACAGAGTCGGAGGGAGAGAGAGGAAGAGAGAGAGAGAGAGAGAGAAACATCGACGTGAAAGGGACACATCGAGTGGCTGCCTCCTGCATGACCCAACCAGGGCCGGGGACAAAGTGCAACCAAAGTATGTACCCTTAGCGGGAACCGAACCCGGGTCTCCCTGGACCGTAGGCCGACGCTCTAACCGCTGAGCCAAACCAGCCAGGGCGCGAGATCGCTTTTTAACAATGGGATTCAGTCCTGGACATAAGGCTCAATGCCCCTTGTACCGTGAGCCTTGCTGTTGGGAGCTTCCCTGCACGAAGCAGAGTTTCACGCAGACCCTGACGATTTCTGCAGAGATCCCGGTGGGAATGAGCTTTCATGAGTCGCCCAGAGAGCCCAGCTCCTGGTCACGTCATAGGACGTGGAGAGGACGAGAATCGGTTTCTTTTATTGAAGTGCCACTGATTTCACCAGCGGTCATTATTATCCTTCCCCTGGTCTTATAAGCCCTCTCTTGTTCGATGATGCAAAATAAACTCAGTCCCAGTTCAGTTGAATGCCACGTGCGGTGCTGCAGGGCTGGGGGCCGGGCTCCCCAGACCCTAAGGAGCGCGTGCTGCCGCCCTGTGCCCTGTAGCAGGAGCTCATCGGCAGCATCGGCCGCAAGCTGCAGGTGCTGCGCGAGGCCCGGGAGAGCCTGCTGGAGGACATCCAGGCCAACAGCGCCCTGGGGGACGAGGTGGAGGCCATCGCCAAAGACGTCTGCAAGCCCAATGAGTTCGACAAGTTCCGCATGTTCATCGGGGACCTGGACAAGGTGGTGAACCTTCTGCTGTCCCTGTCTGGTCGCCTGGCCCGCGTGGAAAACGCCCTCAACAACCTGGACGACAGTACTTCTCCTGGTGATCGGGTACATACACCTGCGTCGGAGCTGGGATTTGGGGAGGCGGGGGGTGCGGGTGGGGGTGGCATGGGAAGGCTTTCCTTGGAGTGTTGAGTGAATGCGTTGAAGGCTCACACAGCGGCCTGTCCACCTCACTGTGCAGGTGCTGTAGAAATGTGGGGGGCTCTCTCGGGTAAATGAGGGATGCTTGCCCCTCCCGGGTCCCCGGCTGCCCCGCCCTCGCGGCGTCCCTAGGGCTCCATTGCAGAGATGAGCAGCGGACGGGTGTCCCCTTGGCTGGGCGTTGCTAGGACAGCCTCACCCCACATCCCATCGCCCCGCCCAGGGCCCTCCGTGGCCGGGCCTGCAGGTCCCTGCTGTTAGTTGACAACCTGTGTCGGGCTCGGCAAGCTTGGTTTTCCGAGAGAGCGAGTCGACCCAGTCCGAGACGTGGAGTTGGCTTGGAGAGCGCCTCCTTCCTGTTTCCAGGTAGGAAGTGCACACGCAGACAGACACGCGAAGTCCTCCCCGATCTCAGCGGCTCTGCTCGGGAGCCCGGCTGCTTCTGCCCCGAAGGGAGGCCTGGGCTCAGTGAGCATCCGCTGCCCTTGGCTGCGGAATTCACTGGCGTTGCCTCGCCTCCTTCCACCCACGTACACTGTCCCTTTGTTTCGCGAGCCCCCGGGCCCAGGTGTCCCACAGAAGTGGCCAGGAGACCCCGCAGCTGTGCGGTCGGGGGTGCTTCCCCGCAGCCGCGCACCGAGAGCAGGCTATGTGTGCAGCCGTGGTAAGTGCCGGCGCCTCTTTGCTCAGCTCCTCTGTGTCGGCATTTTGCAGAGGCCGGCCTCACCCTGGAGGTCCCACCTGGCCCTTGCCGACAGCCCGCAGCCCAGTTGCAAAGCAGCAGAATAAAAGGGACCCTCTGTGACACCCAAGAAAAAGTCAGGAAGTCACAGCGAGGACGGGAGTCCTGGGCACCCCCGGCTGACGCTGGGAGGCATTAATGCATCCATCTCTTCTTTGTCTTTTTTTTTTTTTTTTTTATCCTCACCCGAGGACATTTTTTGTTCAGATAGAGCGGGAGGGAGAGAGAGGAAGAGAGAGAGAGAGAAACATCGACATGAAGGGACACATCGAGTGGCTGCCACCCGCACGACCAACCAGGGCCAGGGACAAACTGCAACCGAGGTACGTGCCCTTAGCGGGAACCGAACCCGGGTCTCTCGGGACCGCAGGCCGACACTCTAACCGCTGAGCCAAACTGGCCAGGGCTCTTCTTTGTCTTTTTAAAATATTTTTTTTCTTGATTGATTTTAGAGAGAGAGGAAGGGAGAGGGAGAGAGAGAGAGAGAAACATCGATGAGAGAGAACATCGATGGGCCGCCTCCTCCACGCCCCCCACTGGGGATTGGGCCCACAACCTGGGCATGTGGCCTGAATGGGAATTGAACCGGCGACCTCTTGGTGCGTGGGTTGGCGCTCACCCACTGAGCCACACCGGCCGGGCTCTTCTTGGTTTTCATTACACGTGGAGGGTGTCAGAACACCGCTGTGCATTCTGCAGGTGCAGAGTGTGGAAGTGAGGGCCCCGCTTTGGGAAGGGGGTCGTCTGTGTGCCCAGTGCAAGGCCCTTGTGAGGTGCGCGGGGACCTACCCCACAGCCCTGTGGTCTCTTCTGCGTCCTCTGCTCCGTCTGGGTCCTCTTCTGCCAGCCCACTCACAGGTCCCCGTCCTTCCGCTGGGGGTTTAGGAATCCTGCCCTCGCACCCCTTTAGAATGCATTCGTTTTGACACCTTTGCCGAGATAGTGTCTCGGGAAGGACACAGGTAGGAGCCCAAAGTCCTTTGCGCCTTGGAGCGTCTCCAGATTCTGTCGCGTGACTCTTTGACCCCTCCTGTGGTCAGCGTGGCTATTTCTGTCCACCAGGGCTGGCCGATGGGGGCACTGGAGGTGCGGGAGGTCCGTGAGCCCCTGTGGGAGGGCGCGGGCCACGGCTGTGGCTTGCTGCGCCCACGGGGTTCTTTCCGGCCATGTTCTTGGGACTTCTGTGCCGCCCGCCCTCGCCCTCGGGGCTCCATGGCGCCGTCCCGGAGCGGCGGCGTTTCCAGGGCGGCGGCCGCGGCGGCTGCTTCAGCCCGGTGCTCAGCGGCTTGTTTCTCTCTGTGTCCACAGCAGTCGCTGCTGGAGAAGCAGCGAGTCCTCCTTCAGCAGCACGAGGACGCCAAGGAGCTGAAGGAGAACCTGGACCGCCGGGAGCGCATCGTGTTCGACATCCTGGCCAGCTACCTGAGCGAGGAGAGCCTGGCGGACTACGCGTACTTCGTGAAGATGAAGTCGGCGCTGGTCATCGAGCAGCGGGAGCTGGAGGACAAGATCCACCTCGGCGAGGAGCAGCTCAAGGGCCTGCTGGACAGCTTGCAGCCCGAGACGGGCAAATGAGGGCGTCCTCCCCGCGGGGGGCACAGGCCGGCCTGCGTGCGCCCGTCCCCGGGGCCCAGCCACACCCCGGCCCGTATGTATGTCCTGTGGCGGGAACCCTCCCGTCGCAAAGAGGCTGTTAGGAAAACAGTCACTCTCGTGTGTGTTTGGGACGATGTATCGAAGTTTGCAGTGTCCCTTCTGAATGCCGAGCAGAGGGGCTGTCTGTGGGCCGTGCCCGGGACAAGGAACCACACGGGCGCTGGGCTCTGCTGAGGGCACGTGGTGCAGCACCCACCACGGGCTGCGGTCCTGGACCGTGGGCAAGGGCTCGTGGGCCGTGGTCGCTCGCCCTTCCTGCCGAGCCAGCCCCTTGGGAAGCAGTCACGGAGCCTCCAGGGTGCACCAGAGGGGCGACCCTAGGCATGTCGTGTGATTCCCACGGGGTGCACGGCCCCGTGTCCGTGTGTGTCCCGCCGTGTTGGTGTTCATTCTCTTTCCCATGGTGACGTCCTCTGACCCAGCAGAGACCACGTGACAATGCTGCCGCTGATCACTTATGAACATTGTAGAGTCCACGAGGTTCGAGAACCCGCAGTGAGATGCCTAATGTACCTGTTGTGTTCACTTGTTCCCAAACCGCCCCTTGGGGTGTGTGCGTGCTTTAACGCGCGCCGAGCAGACTGCTTCGCTGCGCGGGCCCGTGGGTTCCCGCAGCGTGACATGACTTGCCGCAAAGGGTGTCCGGTCGGCCCGTGCTTGCTACAGCTTCGCGAGGCCAGGGGGGTGGCTCCTAATTCCTGTCTCCACTAAACATCGATGTCCTGTGCGTGTCGTCACTGGCGGTGATCGGCGACTGGGCTGATTTTGCGTCTTTGACTCCGTCGGCGTGCAGCGAAGGCCCCACCCCGCTTCCTGTGAGAACCCCGCGTCCGGTGTGCGGGGGTCTCCACACGAGTCTGCCCCGGGGTGGAGCGGTTCCGGGCCCTTGTTATTCGTTGACATTGCAAGACGGTAAAGAGAGTCTACTCACGGAGCGGACAGCACCGTCCCGCTGCGACCTGCGGCTGACGAGGCACAGACTGGGAGGAACTATTTTCAAGTGACACATGTGACGAAGGAACGATCAGAGTGTCTGGAGAACTCTATAAAAGTCACCGTAAGAAAGCAAACAGCCCAGGGCAAACGATTTCACCAGACGGCACATCTGCGCAGCAAACGCGTGGACGAAGGGGGCCAGCCCCGACCGCCCAGTGGTCACTCACGGGCTGCCACCGAGGTCATCGCGGAGCCGGTCTGGTGCTTCACGCAGGCTCCCCTGATGAGATGCTGGTTACTGGAGGGAGAGCCCCTGGCTGGGCTCCTGTCAGGTGCCATTTGGACATGTGTGTGATGGCGGGATCGTTGCGGTCCCCGTGCCCCCTGACTCCTGGGAAGAAGTTTTCCCACAGGTGGGGAGATGTCTGTGTTGGCGGGGACCGCCGCCGAACCAAGCACACATGCACACCCCTGTCTTAGGACAGTGGTCCATGCTTCCTGAGCCGGAGGCCGTGAGCAGACCCCGGTGCCGTGGATGGCGCCGGCGTGCTGTGTAGACGGGTCCGCGCGGGCCTGCTTCACCAACGCTTCACCAACGCGGGCAGCCGACACTGGCCACCCAGCCACGCCCAGCAGACTCCTGCCTTTCAGAAGTTTCCATTCCTATTCACCGGAGGTCTGTGACTTGGAAATGGTACCGCGTGGGTCATCCCTTGCGGGGGAAACTGGCCCTGGCGGAGGAGGTCGAGTTGGCTGTTCGCCAGCCTCCGTCTTCCTCCCTCGGGGAGGCCACCGCAGTCATTTCTGTGTGCTCGGTTTTTAATTTAGACAAAGCTGTTCTCTGTGATCCCCCCCCCATACAGTGCTGTGACCGTTTTGATGCTAGGCCTGTAAACGTGACTCATAGAATCTGTGTGTCTGTGTCCTGCCTTCTGATGTCTTTGAGGACGTTCCTGCACATGGCGGTACGGAGCGCAGTTCCCCTTTTACCGATGCACCTGCGCTCAAGCGTCCTGCCCACGCCCGTGTCCGGTGAGCGGGACCAGACCCAGCCAGTCGATGTACGTAAGGTTGCACATAGCTGTCCGGCTGCAGATAAACAGTGTGGTGCTCATGTCCTGCCCTTGGCGGTGCGAGGCGGTGGCCGATCACGGACGCCGTGTGGTAGTGCGGCCCTGGAATGCTCTGTGCAGCTGGACTCCGTCACGGTGTGGCCTGCAGTCCCCTGTGGAAACGCGGACAGGTCATGCCCGACCCTTACCCCTCACCTGTCCACACGTCATCCTGCTCGATGAAATAAACAGTGTCTCTGGGTGCATGGAGCATGTCTCTGATTTTCCTGCATGACACCTGTTTGTGAGAACAATCAGAATGTCCTCACCATTAACAGGTTCCTGAAGGGTCGGCGAACTGTGGTATTGACTGTAAGTGTGTCCCTTGTGTGCCAGTCGGTTGGAAGGGTCATGGTGCTCTGGCCTCATCCAAAGACCCTTTCGTCCCGTCTCATCATGACTGAGGCTCTCGCCTGGGATCCCAGAGGGCTTTACAGTTGAGTTGCTGGGTTTTGGGTTTTGGGTTTGGGCAACAGACAGTCCAGCAAAACGCGCAGTCGCGTAGCAGGGGTCACCTTTGTGTGTGGTTCTCACCCCGGCGCCTCAGAACAGCTCAGATAACGCCGTTCTGTGGTTAGGGTGATGAGATTAAAAATCACTTCCAGCCCTGGCTGGTGTGGTCAGTGGTTAGAGGGAGCACAGGCCTACTCACCCAGGGGCTGTGGGTTTGGTTCCCGCTCAAGGGCGTGTACCTGGGCTGCAAATTGCAGGAGGCAACCAATCAATGTGTCTCTCTCACATGGATGTTTCTCTCTCTCACTCTCTCTCCCCGCTCTTCCCTCCCTCCCTTCCACTCTCTCTAAAAATCAATGGACAAAATATCTTTGGGTGAGGACTAAGCACAAAAAAGGAAAAAACAATTTACTTCCCAGCCGGGGCTTATTCACCCTTTAAAAATGTATATGTAGCTCACATTTATTTCAACATGTCAATTAGGACTGTGCGGGGGTTTTTATTTATAAGATTCGTGCTTTTTTTGTGACCAGAACTGTGTTGTAGGAAGTTAACTCTTGATTCTCTCAAAGATCCGTTGGTGAAATCGGTTTCATCGCACACATTTTGGCTTCCAGTCAGGTTTTCCAAGAACCTGTGGACGTGAAGGAGGACTGGATCCCGGAGCTCTGTAAGATTTCCAAGGACGTCTGCAACAAAGAACCTCATGGAACTCTTCCCTCCCGGGTTCTCAAACACTTTGAGCTTGGATTGCACCCACCCTGTGCTTACAAATGCCATACATCCAAATGCCCGCGTGTTGGGACTGACGCAGTTCACAGCTGACAAGCCCTGGGCGCTGAGTGTTGCACAGGGGGGCTCTGCCCTCTGGGATGGAGGGGGCACCCACCTCTATCTCCATATAAGACCGGGGCCTTTAAATGTACTTGCGATACATTTCTGTGCAAACAAGGCTGTGCGTGATGGACAACGTGCAGACACGCCCACATGTGTGTCCACAGCTAACAGTGTACCTGTAAGTGATATCTGTGAGCCCGGTACACGCTGGCACCTTGCACTCTGCAGAACCACCCACAGGATGGCAGCCAGCGCTAGGCCAGAGGCCTCCAGAGGCCACCCCACTCTCCCCACACCCATCACTGCCTGTGGCCCCGCCTCCCCTCTGGCCAGCCCCGCCCCCTGGCAGGTGAGCTGCCCCCACAGCCCTTCCCCTCCACAGACACAGGGCTCTCAGGCCCTTCATGGCACTATCCCATTTCCTCCCTGCAGTGGTCCCCTTTGCTCCTGTGCCAGCAAACACACTAGGCTCTTGGTGGGGTCAGCTGTCACCTGCTCTCCCTCCTTCCTCCCTGCACTCCCTCCCTCCCCTCTCCTCCCCTCCCATCTCCTCACTCCCTCTTCTACATCCCTGTCTTTATTCTACACCCCCCTCCTCTTTCATCTCTCCTTCTCCCTCTCTCCCTCCCTTCCTTTATCCTCTCCACCCTCCCTCTCTCACTCCCTCTCTGCATCCCTCCATCCCCTCTCTCCCCTGTCTCTTCTCTCCCTTCCCCCTTTCCTCCTGCCCTCTTGTCTCCCCTCCCTCCCTCCCTCCCTCCCTTCCTCCCTTCCTCCCTCAGTCCTTCCCTCTCTCCCTCTTCCTTTTAAGAAACAGGGTTATATATTCACATATTTTTGAAACCTGCTTTACACTTCACAACATTGGGAACTTCCCCCTAGTGATTCTTCAGTATAATGTTGAGTTTCTGGGTCATATTTAAGAATGGAAAGCGATTTACTGACTGTACTCTCTAGATGGGAATTTTAGGATTTGGGGGGCTCCCCCTTGTAACCTCCTTTATAAAGTTCGTTAGGTGTGTTTTGTGTGTACATCTTTGCACGCATCTCCCTTCATTTGCTTGGAACAAATCCCTCATGACAGAAACTGTCAGCAAAGGATTCCAGTGGAACTTAGACCCCTGCTCCCAGCTGAGTCCTGAGTGCCGGCCAGCTGACCCCAGGGGCCTTCCTGGCCGGTTACAGCAACCCCCTCGGCACTGTCCCCAGTCTTACAGGCCCCTTTCTCCCAGTTAGGACTCATCTGACACATTCCTTTCCCTCTCGCGCTCCTGTGCCCTGCTCCCACCCCATGGCTGTCCGAGGTTCATCCAGAAGGTCTCTCATTCCCCACTCATTCGGGCCATCTTTCCCGTGTGCTGACTGTCTCGGGTCTTTCCTAACGAAACCTCACCCGTGTGGTCCCCACTTCTGCTAACACCTGCTCTTAGGAGTGTTGTCATCACTCTTGTGAAGGTTAGGTCCAGGTGATGTGTTAGATAACACTTTTGGGGACAAGAGAGAGCCTAGGACACAAGAGGAGTCCAGTGGGTCTGGAGAGAGGACTCCGGTGGCCCATTCCTGAACACTGCCCGCCCTGGAAAGCCCAGAGACAAAGAGGGTGCGTGATGAAGACCAGACCAAGACAGCGAGCTCACCAACAGAACGAGGTTGCTGCCCTGTTCAGCACCTAGCAACTGAGAATGATGCGGACAATGGGTGATGGAACGTGCTCCTGATTGGAAGGCTGAGGCCGGGGCCTCGGGTCGACGCCAGGCCCAGGCTGTGTCTGCTTGGAGCAAGGAGCCAGCCCGGAGGACGGCCCAGAGAAGCCGTGAGCCGGACCTGGGAGTCGCCCTCAGTGGCCACCTGCCCCCTCGGAGACACTGCGCTGGTTAGTGGGGGCTCCGCCTTCTAAGTTGGGTATGTCTAATGGTGGGGAAACAGGTCTAACAGGAAGTGTGTCCTATTACCATCTCCTGAGTACAGTGCAGTGTCCCCAAGGACCTTCACAGTGCTGTGTACCATCACCACCATCATCTCCAGAACGTTCTCATCTTCCCAAGGTGACACTGCCCCACGGAACCTGACTGCCCTCCCCCAGCCCCTGGCAGCCATGGTTTCTCTCTGTCCCTGAGCAGGACTGCTCTGGGGACCTCAGAAGGGGGAAGGACACAGTGTTTGTCTCTCTCTACGGACTTACTTCGCTGGGCAGGCTGTGGTCACTGCTCATGCGTGTAGCAGCAGGTGGGAGAATTCCCTCCCTTTGCAAGGCTGAGGGGCACCCTGCTGTGTGCGGGGACCACAGTGCATCTATGCAGTCGTCCATGGTGGACACGGGGTTGGTCCGCCTCTCCGCTCCTGGGAATGATGCTGCTGGGAACAGGGGTGTGCACACACCTGCTTGGGGCCCTGCCTTCCCTCCTTTCGTGTACATACCCACAAGCAGGGTTGCGGAGTCGGGGGGATTCCACGTTTCTTGTGCGGACTCTGCATTGAGGTATCATTCCCACACGGTGGCATTCACCTTCGGGAGTGTACAATTCAGGGGGTTGCTGTATGTTCACACACTTATGCACCCATCACCTCTGTCTGATAAAAGAAATGCAGTTTTGCTCACCCGAGGATCTTTTTCCATTGATTTTTAGAGAGAGTGAGGGAAGGGGAAAGAGAGAGAGAAACATGGATGTGAAAGAGAAACATCCATTGGTTACCTCCCACACCGCCCTCAGGATTGAACCCGCAGCCCTGGTAGGTGCCCTTGACAGGGAATTGAACCCACGACCCTTAGGTCCCAGGACCAAAGCTCTAACCGCTTAGCTGAACCAGCCAGGGCAGGAATGCTGTTTTCTTAGTCCTTGTGGGTGTTGTGACCCACCCCTTGGCGACACAGAGTTTGTGTCACTAACTGTCGGAGAGTAACTGGCTGTATCTGTTATATTTTGAGGCCCATTCCTGGGTCTCATCTGATGTAGAGTCAAGGAGCACTGTGTTCATGATCCTGTGGACCCAAAGGGGGAAGGAGCCAACCAGTCCCTACCCGCAGCGCCCTCTCCCCCAGGCCATGGTTCCTACCTGACACCAAGCACCTTCTCTGCCTTCCCCAGCCCTGGCCTGGGACACCATGGCCCCCTGGGCGAACTGTCTGTCCTCCTAATTTGTTCAGGTTATTGGGGTTTCAGTGCCCTGGTTCAAGTTGGTTCCACACACTCCACAACGCCGGCCTCTCCCACAGCTTCTCGTCTGTGTGTTCGTGTTCTCCAGCTATCGGACACCTCGGTCCCTGTAGTTTAGTGTCCTTGTCCACTGGGGGGCGGGTCATCTGTCCCTCCCTGAGAAGGGGCAACCTTCTGCCATGGGTCCCACCGTTAGGTCACAGAGAGCTCATGAGAGCCAAGGGTGCATCGGACTCAGGCAGTGTGAGGGAGACAGCACAGCTGTTGATGGAAGCCGGCCCCTCCCAGGACTCTGCATTCTAAGGTTTCCCATCTCAGGGAAGGCGATTCTGAGTTCCTAGGGCTGGGTTTACTTCAACAGGTGGATACCGCTGGGTTTTTCAGGGTAGGAGCTACAGTCTGGTTAGCGATTTGTGTTTTAATCTCCGTGAGGCCAGAAAATCACGAGAACACTAAAGGAAGATCAGTGGTTAAGTGCCTCTTCCCCAAACATTTCTGTGATCTCTGAGCGGACACAGGGGGGCTTCCAGGTCTGCACCCACCCCGACCACACAGACAAGCAGGGACAGCTGTGCCGAGGAAGGAGCTGTGGGTGGGGTTGTCCAGTAGGGCACCCCCTTTGGAGAACTGGTGGTTCCTCAAATGTAAAACAGGTACCTGAGCCTGGCTGGTGTGGCTCAGTGGACCGAGCACCATCCCATGGACTGAGAGGTTCCGGTTCTATTCCGGGTCAGGGCACATGCCCAGGTGACAGGCTCAATCCCCAGTAGGGGGCGGGCAGGAGGCAGCCGTTGATGGTTCTCTGTCACATCGATGTGTCCATCTCTCCCTTCCTCTCTGTAAAGAATCAATAAAAACATATTATTTAAAACAGATACTGTGACCCAGCCATTCCACTTTAAAGTACACACAGAAGGTAAAGTAGAACATACATCCACACAGAAAGAGTTATATGCAGATGTCCACATAGTACCATCATTTATAATAGACCAAAAGTGCCCTGGCCGGTTTGGCTCAGCAGTGAGAGTGTCAGCCTGTGGACCAAAGAGTCACAGGTTTGATTCCGGCCAAGGGCACGTACCTTGGTTGAGGTTTGTCCCTGGCCCTGGTTGGAGTCATGTAGGAAACAACCAATTGATGTGTCCCTCTGACATAGATGTCTCTCTCTCTCTCTTTCTCTCTCCCTCTCTCTCTCTCTCTTTCTCTCTCTCTCTATCACTCCCCGTACTCTATTTGAAGATATTTGAGAAAATATCCTCAGGTGAGGATTAAAATGAAAAAGTGACCCCAACTGTCCATCAGCCACTCAATGGGTAAACAAGATCTACTGTAATCCTATAGTGGAATATTATTGTGCCTTGAAAAGGAATGATGTACTGATAAATGCGTGGAACCCCAAAAACATGATGCTCAGTTAAGAGCCAGGCACAAGGCTGTGGGGCTGGGTGGAGGTGGGCAAATGGGGGATGGACATCTGTAAAAGTATCAGCAATGAACAATTTTTCAAAGAGGCAGGCACGAGAGCCAAATTGCATGATTGCATTGCTTGATTGATTGACTTATTTATCTTTCGTTAACCCTCATCTGTGCATAATTTTTCCATTGAATTTTAGAGAGAGTAGGAGGGACGGAGAGAGAAACTTCGATGTGAGAGAGACACATCAATTGGTTGCCTCCCACACGACCAGTGGCGCCGAGGATTGAACCTGCAACCGGGTACGTGTCCTTGACCTGGAATTGAACCTGGGCCGACGCTGTAACTGCTGAGCCACACAGGCCTGGGCGCGTGATTGCATGTATATGAAATGTGCACAGTCGACGGATCTGTAGCGACAGAGAACAGATGGGTGGCTGCCAGGACCTAAGAGGGAACGGGGCGTAACTGCTCACAAGCACAGCATTTGCTGAGGTGAGGAAGACACCCTCGGGGTAGTGGTGATGGTTGCATCAGCTTGTGAATAAGCAGAAACCCACGGAACCGCACATCTCAAAATGGTGAATTCCACGGTGTGTGAATTCTAGCTCAGTTAAGCTGTTTGAACAGGGCAAGCAATGCAGTCGTGGTCAAAGTGCCCAGAAGGTAATGATGGGGGCACCTGTGACAACCCAGGAAGACAGCTCCTCTTTTGATTCTCAGAGGTGGTCCTTCCCTTAAGCAAACCATGTGTAACCCATGGAAGGGCTGAACTTTCCAGGTTACAGTGGCCTCCTTACTGCAAACTTTTCTAAAAGGTTTTCAAGAGCTAGGTAAGTACATGTGGAGTGGGCCAGTGGTACAAAACCGAGCCATCGAACCCTGACGCGGTGACGTCCCGGCCATCCCAGCAGCACCTTCAGTCCCATTGGTCTTCTCTCCAATAGGAGAGGCCAGCTGAGCTGCTGATGCATGAATATCAAGTTGTGGGGGCCAGTGACCCCAGAGTGAGGGCTAGAACTGATCTCTTTCGGCACCAAAAACAAACGTTTCAACTTCCCCACTGTCGTGGAGCTTTCTCTCAGTGGGGTGGGGCTTTGTAAAATGTATGTGAGAGCGAGAGCGTGGTCCTGTGCCTCCTGGCCACGCAACATGGGTTACAGAGCCTCCCGGCTCTCCGTTAGGAAGTGCTGATTCCACAGGCCATCAGCATTAGGCTGGAAGTCCACACCACGTGTTGAACGTGGTTGCTGTAATTTAAGCGAGCACGTGGCAGTGGTCCTTCGGGTCATCCGTGCCTGTTGTTGCAGCACACGTCCCTGGCAGGCATCGCCACAGGCACCCCCTTGCAAACTGCCCTCAACTCTGCCCCACTCCCCCTGCCTCAGGAAACCACCTCACCCGCAGGTCACACGTCACTGCAAGTCCGTATTCCATTGGGGTGCTCGGCAAGAGGACCAGGGCTGCAGTAGCCAACTTCTGAAGGATCGCTGCTTTGAGGTGGGGACAAAGTGAGCATCTGACAGGCTCTGCCAATGCCAAACGACTGCTTAGCCTTCGAGTGTGTGCTCCCGGGGTCCCTGGCCCACTTCTGGGGCTTCAGAGGGAGCCCACAACTTGAACTCATTCATGAAGTTCTCTGTTCTTCCCCGTATTCTCCTGAACGAACCATGAGGAAGGTGGGTGGCCTTCAGTTGTCCCCTGTTTGTTGGCTGCAGAGAGAGCCACCTTCTGAATGCCGTGTCTTCCCCACACTTGAGTTTCCCCTGGAACCACACGTTCCGTGACCTTGAACGGGTCAGTCCTTGTCTCCAGCCCTCATGCTCCAGGCCCCAGCTCCCAGCTGGCGCTTTGTCCGTCTCCAAAGAAACACTCACCGCCAGCTGAACTCAGTGGCACTGATTCCCGCCGGCACGCCGTGTCAGGGGCTCCTTCCCAGTGCTTTGTTCAGGGTTATCTGGCCCCAGAGAGTCATCTCTATAAATCAGGCGTCTTCCGTGAACGTCTGGCCATGAGACGGGATTTCTGGTATCAGTCTGGGAGATCCCTCACTCTGTAACTTTCCACTGGGGACCCCCAAACAAGGTCCAGACCCCTCAATGCTGTCCACAAACTGGCTTCAGCGTCCACTCCTGCTCCTTCTTTACTAATTTCCGGGCTTGTATTGCTCAACATGCACCCATGTTTCTCCTACTTAAAATATACAAACAAGAGAAAATTCACTAGTAATGCCAATTATCATACACCTCTTATTTTAGCTTCCCAGTGTATTTTATGATGGGCAGAAATAAGATCATGCTACATTCTTATAGTTTTCTTAGCCCTGTTTCATTTATTTATTAATGATTTTTAAGAGAGAGAAGAAGGGAGAGGGAGATACAAACAAGGGTGTGAGAGAAACATTAACTGGCTTCCCCCTCACAGCCCCACCACTGAGCCTGTAACTCAGGCATGTGCCCCGACTGAGTGGAACTGCCTACCATTCAGTGTTCAGGACCATGCCCAACTGCCTGAGTCACACCGGCCAGGGTGCCTAGCCTCCTTTTTTTTTGGTAATCCTCACCCAAGGACATTTCTGCATTTATCTTCAGATAGAGTGGGAGAGAGAGAGGAAGGAAGAGAGGGAGAGAAACATCAATGTGAGAAAGACACATTGCCTGGTTGTCATCCACACAACCCCAACCGGGACCAGGGACAAACTGCAACCGAGGTACGTGCCCTTAGCTGGAACTGAACCCAGGACTGCCTGTTTGAAAGTTTGTACATTCTTTTTTCCATCCTCATCGGAGGACATTTTTTTTTTTTTGCATTTATCTTCAGATAGAGTGGGAAGGAGGGAGGGAGGAAGAGAGAGAGAGAAACATCGATGTGAGAAACAAACCGGCCAGGACAAACTTTGTACATTTTTTAAATTGATCTGAGAGAGAGAGAGAGAGAGACACTGATTTGTTGTTCCACTTATCGATGCATTCATTGGTTGATTCTTGTATGTACCCTGACCGGGGGTTGAACCGGCAACCTTGGGGTTGTTGTGGCGCAAGAGAACTGAGACACCACCAGAGCCAAATTAAAGCCAAATAGAGAGAAAAGCCGGCCGGCGACTGATCCCGAATTCTCAGAGATCAGCCCCGACTATCAGCTCCTTTTTTATTTTATAGGGGGCTTGTTACAAACTTCTGCAAGCGGCATTTCTTGTTGGCTTTGCTGGAGAGCAAGCAGGTACAGAAATGGAGCCGTTAGTTAGATAAGCAGGAGGGAACGAAGGTGGGAGGGAGCTGAGGCGGAAGGGAACTGGGTGACCTGGGTCAGCACACGTCTCTCCTGCTAGACATTCTATTTTCTAAGTTCTAAAAACGAACAAATTCTCCTAGAGGACACATTCATTTGGAGGAGTACCAGGCCAGCTGGTACTTCCTCATTTGCCTCTACAAGCTTCATAGTTGGCCTTCTGTTTACTTAATCATTACGAGATGATAAGTGGTATTGGGATGACACTCTAACCAACTGAGAAACCTGGCCAGGGTAAAAGTCTGTACATTTTAAGCCTTTCAGTAAATACTGCCAAGGAACCCTTCACTAACTTTGTTCGGTCTGCGTACCCACCAGCAGGGCATGAGGGTCAAATGTCTCCATTCTGCCACGTGGCACGTCCGTGTGAAATACAGAGCTGCTCACCCCTGGGGGGCTGTTGCAGGTCAATTGTCTCATCCTCATGATGCCCTATATTGATTTGCAGTTCCCCTGGGGACGTGGCCACCATGAGACTGTTCGTCAACAGCAACAATTGCCAAATGGCGGCTTTCACTGTCACCACCTTGGGATGGATCTTCACCATGTTGTCCATGGGCCTCATGGAGTGGCGAGTGTGGTACATGGACAACAGCAGCTCCTCCTTCCCCACCGGGCTGGCCTGTATCGGACTGTGGAAAGTCTGCACGCATCACCACACCACCTACGCCAGAAGCAACACGGCATGTCGCCTTCACCCCTACAGGGACACTTACCTGCCTCTCGATGTTCGTGTTGCCCAACACCTGCTGCTGGCCGCCAGCACTCTGGGGCTCCTGGGGAAGGTGCTCCTTGGCTGTGGCCTGAGGAATGTGTGCTTCGGACATCTTCAGAAGAACGCCACCTGGAACCTCTTTCTCGCTTCAGGGATTTTGAACATAACGGCTGCAGCCTTCATCTCCGTGGCTGTGATCTGGAATTACCACTCCGTGATGAACGAAGAGGGGATAGACTTCCCGCCGTCCTTCTACATCCCCTTCAAGCCAGACAAGCAGGAAATCGGCAGTGCCATTCCGGCGGCGGTCCTGGCTGCCCTCATGATGTTGTTCGGCGGGCTGTTTTCCTTCTCCTACAAGTTCCCCGCCGACCGCCAAGTGCACCCTGAAGTTTCGCAAATATGAAGGTCCTGGTTGCATTGCCTTTGGAAAGCCAACATTAGCCGGAGTTCATGGACAATGTGATCGGGGTTGTGTGATGAATCTTCTCCAAGGACTCAAGACCATGGCAGAGGTCTTTTGGGGCAGAAAGTGGCCATTTCCTTGTGTCTGAATTTGGCTCGTAGATTCAGGAAGTTTCATTAAAAAAAAAATTCCAAGGAGACAACTGCCCACTTGTGTTACTGGGTTACTGGGTTTTAATTATTGTTGGGTAAATAATCAATACTATACACGTACAGGACATTAGACTTTTTAGGATTCTCACATCTTCCTCTTATACTTCTGCTAAAAGCAACTGACCTTATTTCCTGTGGCATGGAATAACATCTCTCTACCATATAAAATTCATAGAAAAGGTGCAAAAGTAGAATAGCATGAGTTCCCCTACACCAGACTCAACAGCTATTGTGATTCTGGCGTATTAGCTTTCTCTCTCCTTTCTTCCCCTTTTTAAATCTATTTTTCTTTTTCTGAAGGACTTTAAAGCAAACCCCATACATCATGTTCCTTCATACCTATACACTTCAGTATTACTCTCTAAAACAAAAAATTGACACTTTCTTGCATAACCATATTATACCTTAAAAATTAACAACTATTTCACCCTGGCTGGTTTGGGTCAGTGGTTAGAGCATTGGCCCACAGAGCAGAGACCTGGGTTTGGTTCCTGCTAAGGGCAGGTACCTCGGTGGTGGTTTGTCCCCAGCTCTAGTTGGGGTCGTGTGGGTGGCAACCACTCAATGTGTCTCTCCCACATGGATGTTTCTCTCCCTCTCTCTCTTGCTCCCTCTCTCCGTCCCACTCTATCGGAAGATAAATGCAAAAATGTCCTTGGGTGAGGATAAAAATGACAACTATTTTTTAGCATCAAATTCTGGACAGATGTTGAAATTAAAGCATAATTACTTACTCTACTTCTAATTACCTTTTATCCCAATGGTTCTTAACTCCATGGAAATTCTCCCCAGAACTGCCATACACACAAACTTTTGACAGGTTCACAAGTCTCTTGTAACCTATTCATGGATCTCATTTTCAAAATAAGTCACCATGTCCAAAAAGTTGATTTACTGCTTCATGGAGGTGCTAGAAACTGCCCCTCATTTCTTCCTTTATTTATTTATTTTTCAGTGTAGTTTGTTTTTAAAATTTTTTTCCCTTTATTGATTTTCGCGAGAAGAAGTGAGAGGGAGAGAGAGAGAGAAACATCGATGAGAGAGAACATCGATTGGCCGCCTCCTGCATGCCGCCCACTGGGGATCAGGCCCACAGCCTGCTGCCCCTGCATGACTCCCCGGGGCGGGGCACTAAGGGAAGGGCGCTAGGTTTCTGTGTCTCAGCCTCCACCTCTCTGCTTACTAGAATCCAATGATCCTTTCCCGCTAAAACAGCTGAACGAAAAAGATTCGAGGGAAAACTCCAAGTCAACCTGTGCACTTGGACTTGGGCATGGAGACGAGTTTTCATCTCTCTTGGGTGGATATCGTGCAGTAGGGTTGCTGGGGCGTGTGATAGGTCTAACTCATTCTCAGACCTTCACCCACATTTTCTCTTCCCATTCAGTATCTATAGTTGTGTGGCAACTGCCGTTCTTGCCACGTCCGGCCTAGGCCCACGTGAAAGGCAATGGAATACTATGCAGGTGTATTAGAAACATAGGTATTGTTTATACAAATCTAGGTGACTGGTCTCAGAACCCCACCAAATAGGTATGACCTTGTGTGTTTGTGTGTGGGGGGGTGCCTTTTACTCCCGTACTTCATGGGTGGTCCAACTAGCTTCCTGAGTATGTTGTAAGCCCCCTTAAAGCCCTCAATTGATTACAGTACAAAATTATTCGTAAGGCCAAGTCAGGAGAGGCAACAACTTCAGCTCATTCGCTTACTGGTGGATTCTCTCAGCAAATATTAACTGGATGTCTTTCACGTGAGAGGTTCATCCAAAAACATTCCATCGAGAACTTTGCGGACATAGACCTGACACCCACCCTCTGCTTGATTGCTCCCAGCTACTCAGATGTTTAAAGCGATTCAATCAAAACTAAACAAATGACTTGAGGGGAGAAGTGATGAATTGGTTAAAAATAAGACATACTCTAATGTCAGAGTCACACATAGAGGGTCATAGGGCAGTCCCAGGACAGAAATCAGAGGGCTGATATGAAATGGCCTTTTTCTCAAAGGATATTTAAGTCTTTGAGAGCAGAGTGTTTGAAAAATAGCCCTGCGGTGATATAAGTTGATCCGCTATTTAAATATGTGTTCCAAAAACATTGCCTATGGACCCAGGTGGGCTGGGGGCTCTGCTAGAATTTGACATAATCTTTGCCTTTGGGCTTTGAATTCTCATTTGTGGGCAGTGGATTCTTCCTCCCTGATGGAGAGTTTGTAAAACTCCCGACTGGCCACACTTGTGTTAGAAACCTAACTGCACACAGCACACATTTCCTACTGCCCCGCGGGCGTCAATATCAAGGTACAGAGTAAACAAGTGTCTTATTTCTAAACATCAACCAGTTCCTGCCCATAGTAGCTGCGATCTGGTGACACCCCAAATGGTCATCAGTGGAAGAATGGACACACTGACTGGGCATGTCCATGCCCGGAATGCTACGCAACAATGAACACGAACCAAGAGATGATACGGTCAAGAACACAGGTGACTTCCAAACCATCATGCTGAACAAAGGAAACCAAAAGTCCATGGTCGGGGTGAGGGCAGAGGGGTCAGACACTGTGGCTGTTGCCCCATGAGAGGTACAAAAGAATTTTGGGGACATGGGGATATTCTCTCTCTGATGTGCATTGAGGGAGTCTATGCAAACACTCCTTGAGCTGCACACTTAAGGTTAGTATGTTTCACTCTTTGTAAATTATACTGCAAGTGAAATAAAAATCAAAAGAAGTAAAGAGTAAAAATAAAACCAGAAGTTTCTCCCTCGTTGTGCCTCTTTGCCGTCCCTCATCTGCTCTTTTTCCTCCTCTCTTCCCACTGGGATCCCTGGTGCCTGGTCAGGTGTGTGCATTTCTGGAAGGGAGTCTTGCAGGCAAACTGCAGATTTACACCAGGAATAGTACATAGAGGGGTGACAGCCGTATTTGCAGTAGAAGAGAGGGCAAAGAGGGTGGGATTGACCTTTGCAAGTGAAGCAGAACAAAGCTGCACATGAGGGCAGGGTCAGGATGGACCTGAGGCTGCTCGTCCAAGGACACTTCAGGAAGGCACGTTCCGGATATCTCTGACCCTGGCTCCTAGCATGACGCACCTTACTCACCATCACTGTGGCCTTTTACAGTTCTTCTATTTAAGACTCTCCTGGCCTGGCTCGCGAGGGTCAGTGGTTGAGCATCGACCCATGCACAAGGTGGTCGTCAGTTCAGTTCCTGGTCAGGGCACATACTGAGGTTGTGGGCCAAATCCCCAGCTGGGGCATGCAGGAGTTGACCAGTCAGTGTTCCCTCTCATCAATGTATCTATCATCTCTCCCTCTTCCTTACTCTTTCTAAAACATCAGTAGAGAAAAAAAATAAAAACAAAGAAATAAAACAAACAAAAGATTCTCCTGAATTACAGTGACTATTTGGTCTCAGACCTCAAAAAAGACATTTCTATTCTTGCAAGAATTCTCAACTCTGTTCCATGGCTCTGGCCCTTTAAGAAGTCTCTGGTCACCAGGCCAGGTTGTCATGGAAACATAAGAATGCTTTGATTTCCTTATTTCTCTTACAACTTGGCAGTTACCACCATTCGTACATCTGAGTTCTCTTCCTACCTGTTCGTATTTGTTGGAGAACCACTGTGGTGTGTTTATCTTTTTGTTTGCCCGGGTGAGAACAGCCTTGAGATTTTTGGGAGTCACTTTAGTTTAACCCTTTCATCTGCTCTGTGAACAGGTTAACTGTCATCGGACGGTCTACAGGACAGGTAAGCCCAGGCCCCCTTTATTTTCACAGAAACCCGCACCATCATATTTTCGGGCCGGTCTCTGAGCCTCCTTGCTCTTAGCTTTGTCGATGGAGGCCCCTGAGTGTCACCTGACTGCCAGTTATGACTGTCAGCAGGTAATGCCATCTCCAGCATGGCCTTGCTCTCTCCTGGGCAGTGACAGGACTGAGCGTGAGTGTGAAAGCAAACACGAACATGGGTGCTAGAAAGGGCAGTGATGGTGTCGCCAAACCCCCGGCTCTGGCTCCTTGACTCAATCCAACCCATCTTTGCTCTTCATAAACCATTGGCTTTACTGTGGTGCTGTTTAAATTGTGTTACGATATACAAACCTAAATGTACCATTTTCACCTTTTTAAGGGTACCGTTTTGCAGCATTTTGGACATTGACCATGTTGTGCTACACACCACCATCATCTGCAGAACTTTCTCACCTTCCCAAGCTGAAACTCTGTCCTCATTGAACTCTGATCCCCCATTCCCCTCCCAGCCCGGGAAACCTCTGTTCTGCTTTCTGTGTCTGTGAATTGACTGCTCTAGGGACCTCCTGTAACTTGAATTCCACAGTATTTGACATTCTGTGTTTGCCTTTGGTCACTCGGCAGAATTTCTTTAAGGTCCATCCATGTTGTAGCAGGTATCAGTATTTCCTCCTCATACCAAATAACACCCCGTTGTGTGCATGGACCACATTTTGTCTATGCAGTGGTCCATGGTGGTCGTTTGGGAGGTTTCCACCTCTCGGCTCCTGGGAATAACGCTGCTGTGAACATGGGTGTGCAAACACCTCCTTGTGTCCCTGCTTTGCCTAATTTGAGTACATATCTACAAGCCGGGTTGTTGCACCATATGCTAATTCTATGCTTATGTTTTCTGAGGAATCACCGTACCAGTTCCACAGGGGCTGCACCGTTTCATCCTCCCACCTGCAATGACAGTGATTCCCGTTTCTCCATTCTTTATTTATTTTATATTTTTTGATCTTTATTGTTGAATGCATTACAGATGTTCCTCATTTT